TAAGTGATAATGCAGTGTCGTTTCTTTTCACGCACACACGACCACACCCTGCTGCACGCCAAAAACAAATTAGCTGGATAAGTGCGGGTAAGTAGTAAAATTAACCCTCCAGCAGCTATAACTTTTTAGCCATCCTACGTGCTGACCAGCCACTACGCACTACGGGAATAACCTTAGCAGGCAAAACTAAAAAATTAGTGGGCCTAGCTAATATTAATAACCTATCACGAATCCAGCTAATACATTATAGTTTTCTCGGCTAATCCTTTCTTTGCGTGTGCCCGAGTCGCATTGGTAGCCCCCCCCCCCTCCCCCTATATGCTCTGGTGCATTGATTAATTAAAGCGTGCAAAAAGTTGTGGCGTACCGCGAGGCTGCGGCGGCGCTGGGCGGAGTGCCGGTGACCCCCCCCCCCTCCTCCCCCAACCCTCTTCCCCAACTCGACCCCAGTCCGCGGAGCTGAATGAAGGGAAAAGTTGAGCTGCACGGCGGCGTGGCGCACAGCCTGGTTTGATTTTTTTTCCTGTCCAGCAGAAGTGGGAGTGGGATAAGCAGTGGGAGCAGGGGCGGGAGCAGGAGCGGGAGCAGGCGCGGGAGCGGGAGCGGGAGCAGGGAGCGGGAGCAGGGAGCGGGAGCAGGCGCGGGAGCGGGAGCGGGCGGACGACTTAGCGGGCCGTTAAAGCGCTGCTAAAACGAGTGACGGAACAAATTGGATTGTGGGTCCGGGACGCTCCCCACTCCCTTTGGAGACGCAGCGGAACGCCACACTGCGTTTAGGAGAGCATCTCAGAGCTCAGCAGAGAGAGAGGTGGGGGAGGGGGGGGCGGGGGGCGCCCAACCAAGCCGCACCGGCTCCAGCGCCGCCGCCAAACAGCCTCCTCCGGGTCTCTCTCCTGCCCCGCCTCCGGTATCTGAGGATCTCTCACTCCTCCGGGTAGCGAGAGAGGCCTGGGCCCCGGGGAAGAGGAGGTGTTGCTCTAGCCGTATCTCGTCATCTCTCTAACGACCCGAGCGAGAGAGAGAGAGAGAGAGAGAGAGAGAGAGAGAGAGAGAGAGAGAGAGGGGGGGGTGAAATGAGGAGAGAGGAGATCTGTGTCCAATCCGGCGAGCCCCGACGTAGCGGCCGCATCTCTGTCGGTCCGGAAACGACCGGAAGAACACCCACACCACGATACACAAGCACAAACACACACACACACACACACACACACACACACACATCGTGACCGTTACCACCTGGCTACTGTTTATGTGGGCGTGGGCCTATAGGCCGACAGAAGATAAGGAGGATTGAGAAAAGGAGAGGGAGGTAGAGAGGATGAGAAGGGCCCAGAGAGGGGAAGAGAAAGAGATAGCGAGAGAGACGTAGGGACATGGGGGCCGAACAGAAGGAGAGCGCGAGAGAGTCGGAGAGTCGAGGAGGCAGGCTACCCTGCCCGACACTACTGACAGAGAGATCCACGGCCCACTAAACACGCGCAGTGTGCAGTCCAAACGAAGAGGCGCCGTCCCGAGGGGAGCGGGGCGGGGGAGCCGGGGAGGGCAAGGCGGCCGAGGGAACCTGACTAGCAGTAACGCCGCAGTAACGCCATACTTCCCCGCCCGGCTGAAGGACTACGGCGAGAACGGAGCGGGGTTACACTGATAAACCAAGAGTTCGACTGCTCAACACTTGTCAACAGGAATAGTAGCGAGTGCTCAGAGCCATTATAGGAGAACACACTTGCAAGTGCGGAACTAGTTCCAGGTTGAAGACTCGCAATCGCAATTGTAATAGTGCGGAGTTGCATTGCATTGCACGAGTTGCAACACTGCTTACAAGTGTTAATCATTTGAACACTTGATTTGTCAGTAGTCACAGGCTCTGAGTTCAAAGTTTTGTTCGTATCAGCTGTTGGTTTGAGTAGGTTCAAACCGTGATGAATACGGGAACGCAGGGCGATGTCACTGCAGTTTTTAGACAATCCCCAAGACTACATCTACCAGAGGGCAAAGTCCGCTCCCCCGTCTCACTCTCCGCGTTAGAAGGACAAAGTAAAAGTCAACGGGAGGGACAGCCACAACATCAGATCTGTCTCAGACATACAAGCAGCCGCGCAATTTAAAGAGAAAAGGTTGAAAGTGTAGAAGGGGGGGGGGGCTTAGGCCTCGCGGTGCAGTAGAGGGGTTGAGAACAGGGTGAGAGTGGGCAGATTATAGGGGGTGGCAG